CTAAGAGGGGCANTTTTCTGAGTTGTCTGATCTCCAAGCAAACCATGCAAAGAGTCAGATCTTCACTGCAGGAATGCATAATTCCACTAGAACTAATATCCAACAACTGTTTGGGTTTCCACTAGGCAAACTCCCTGTGAGCTACCTTGGAGTTCCACTTATATCTACTAAGCTAAGAGGGGCAGATTGTAGAAGTCTTGTAGACAGAATGCTTGCTAAAGTGAAAATTTGGACTTGAAAATGTCTCTCATATGCTGGAATATTGCAATTGATCAAATCTGTTCTCTGAGGCANTACCTTGGAGTTCCACTTATATCTACTAAGCTAAGAGGGGCAGATTGTAGAAGTCTTGTAGATAGAATGCTTGCTAAAGTGAAAATTTGGACTTGAAAATGTCTCTCATATGCTGGAATATTGCAATTGATCAAATCTGTTCTCTTAGGCATTCAAGTTTATTGGTCTAGCTGGTTTTTACTCCCTAAAGCTACTATTAGATCAATTGAGCAGATTATGAGATCCTTCCTATGGAGGGGTGTTGATTTGAAGCATACTGGGGCCAAAGTGGCTTGGAAAGATGTCACATACCCCAAAGAGGAAGGAGGATCATCACTGCAATTAGCAAAGCCACATAAAAAATTAAAGAAGAAGAGGAAAAAAGTGGATTCAATTTCTACTTTCTAGGTTTATTTGAANATCCTTCCTATGGAGGGGTGTTGATTTGAAGCATACTGGGGCCAAAGTGGCTTGGAAAGATGTCACATACCCCAAAGAGGAAGGAGGATCAACACTGCAATTAGCAGAGCCACATAAAAAATTAAAGAAGAAGAGGAAAAAAGTGGATTCAATTTCTACTTTCTAGGTTTATTTGGANGGGTTTACCTCACGTAACTCTCTTTTTTGGGTCTAATTCGGACTTTGTCGATTTCTTCCTACAAAATGAACAAACTGTCAAGGATCGAAGTGTTTCGATCGAAGACACTCTGATGCTTAAGTCAGTAATTGAAGAATTGGGAATGTAGAAAGGATTCAGCATACCTTCCCTATGCTTTGTTCATTCCTTTGTATAATGATTCCTCCTGCTAGGGTTTCGTTGCTAGACGCTGTAAGGTGGCACACCATGCTTCAATTCAGGGTTTTTGTTTGGAAGCTTGCAGGAATTTCTCTTAACGTTCTCCCTATTGACTAGCTNACTCAAGATGAAAAGTCCATTTAGTCCAAGTTCAGTCTTAAATCACACAGAGTGGGAATGAAAGCTAGAACAAAGCTAGAAAAGCTATATAAAAATTATACCAAGAGTGAGAGCATCTTAAGAGCATCATACTTAGGGGTGTCCATGGATCGAGTTATCCACAGGTCCCGTTATCCAGCCCAAAATAAATAGGGTCAAAACCCAATAGATTCGATCGTTGGCTCTGCCCGAATCCGAGTCTAATATCCTTAAAAAGAGGGCTTGAGTTTGCTCTACAAACTCATTATCCGAGCCGAAGCCTGGCCCAAGAGCCTGCCCATTAGCCCAGCCCACCCACCATTCATTTGAAAAAAAGTTATATTTTTAGACTATTAAATTTGAAACTTTGAAATAAGTCTCTTAATATCAAAATTTGAAGTTTTAAAAATTTAGATATTATAATAATGTATTTTTTTTCCATGTATTAAGCATATAAGTTTTAAATGGTAGAGTAATGCAAATGACAAATAAGTTAATAGGTGTCAACTTAGTTGGAATTTATTCATTCTATTGGATGCAGTTCATTATTTTATTTTTATTCATTTTAACTTTACTTTTGATTCAAAAATATAATTTACACAAATATTAAGTTATAAAAATATTCATTATTTTTAAATAAAGATGTATATAAAAAAGCTCACAAGCTGGGCCCGCTCACAGGCCCCCCAATAAGCTCACGAGTTGGGCTGCGGGTATCCTACCCCTACCCGAAACCTGGCCTAGCCCGCTCGATAACTCATTTGGGTAAGGGCTTGAACCTACACTATCCATGCCCGACCTAGCCTATGAACATCCCTAATTATACTATACATAATTACATATATAAAAATTATTAAAATACATCTTAAAAATGTAAATACAACTATATGAAAAATTATTTAAAATTTTTATCTATTAATTTAGATTTTGAATTCCACATAAAAATAATAATGTAAATGATGTTAAAAAAAATTGATTAGAAGTGTTAAGACATTTTTCTGTTGTATTCAAGTCTACAATGTACACAACTATCTCACATCGACTAAGAAGCCAAAACCCATGTTAGAAATTGTTTATANAACTCCCTGTGAGCTACCTTGGAGTTCCACTTATATCTACTAAGCTAAGAGGGGCAGATTGTAGAAGTCTTGTAGACAGAATGCTTGCTAAAGTGAAAATTTGGACTTGAAAATGTCTCTCATATGCTGGAATATTGCAATTGATCAAATCTGTTCTCTGAGGCATTCAAGTTTATTGGTCTAGCTGGTTTTTACTCCCTAAAGCTACTATTAGATCAATTGAGCAGATTATGAGATCTTTCCTATGGAGGGGTGTTGATTTGAAGCATACTGGGGCCAAAGTGGCTTGGAAAGATGTCACATACCCCAAAGAGGAAGGAGGATCATCACTGCAATTAGCAAAGCCACATAAAAAATTAAAGAAGAAGAGGAAAAAAGTGGATTCAATTTCTACTTTCTAGGTTTATTTGAAGAATGTCAGGAAATGTGGGGGTATGATATAGCTTATGCTTTTTCTTTTTAAATAATTCACTTGATAACCAAAGTTTCATGCCATTAATAAAAGATTTACATCTATTTTTAAAATTTCAAGTTATACCTTAAATAACTAATACTTTCAGATTATATTCTCAATTGGATGAGAAGATAATAATGTGAACCCAACTATATGTCTATTGCTTTGCCTGATAATTTTTATAATATTTTTTTATGATGAAAAAATTAACTCAAGATGAAAAGTCCATTTAGTCCAAGTTCAGTCTTAAATCACACAGAGTGGGAATGAAAGCTAGAACAAAGCTAGAAAAGCTATATAAAAATTATACCAAGAGTGAGAGCGTCTTAAGAGCATCATACTTAGGGGTGTCCATGGATCGAGTTATCCACAGGTCCCGTTACCCAGCCCAAAATAAATAGGGTCAAAACCCAATAGATTCGATCGTTGGCTCCGCCCGAATCCGAGTCTAATATCCTTAAAAAGAGGGCTTGAGTTTGCTCTACAAACTCATTATCCGGGCCGAAGCCTGGCCCAAGAGCCTGCCCATTAGCCCAGCCCACCCACCATTCATTTGAAAAAAAATTATATTTTTAGACTATTAAATTTGAAACTTTGAAATAAGTCTCCTAATATCAAAATTTGAAGTTTTAAAAATTTAGATATTATAAATAATGTATTTTTTTTTCCATGTATTAAGCATATAAGTTTTAAATGGTAGAGTAATGCAAATGACAAATAAGTTAATAGGTGTCAACTTAGTTGAAAT